GGTTGGTGCTTCCACCTGTTTGAAGCTGAGCTCAGCCCTACAGAATAATACAAGTCAAAATAGAGTCGAAAAACTAATTAAGATGTTTCATTAGTTGTATCAACAGTCCAGGACTTCAATGTCCAGATAAATATATGTCCAGATATATGTTCTGGCTTAAGAAATTGTTTTGCTCTGCAGGGTCATAAGCCCCATCGATGGGAAATCCATGGAGTCCATCAGCAGTACAAAGATGTTCCAAAAGTCAGAACACAAAGAAAATGGGAAGACCATCCGCTGGACAGAAGTACACATTAAAACACAACATGTGCATGTTCTATCTGAATCACAAAGTCTCTTTTGCATGTATAAAACCCTCTACTGTCCAGGTGTTCTTCCTGGTGAGAGGACACAATCCCAAGAGAGGAGTGACCGACTCTGCCGAACAGAGCCGACTCACGGAGCGCATCGCTCGGGCGTTTTGCCTGGCCCTGTGTCCACACCTGAAGCTGCTGAAGGAGGACGGCATGGCTAAACTGGGGCTGCGGGTCACTTTTGACTCTCACGAGGTCAGAAACTAATGAGTGTGGCGCCTATGGAAAATGCCTCCGATGTTGTTGCCTACTGTTGACCTTAGAAGATTTTTATGTTCTGACATCTGCTTTTCTGTTAAAATCTGTAGCTTAATACAGATGTGGACAAACATGCTGGCACACCTGGTGAAGAGTTCAATAAAACCCTCAAGTGCAATGCAAATTTTGTTGCAGTGACATAACCTCACAATTAAAAATAATAATAAAAAAAACTAACACTTAATTTTTAATTTCCAAACCAGTTTTAGTGAAGAATCACTCACAAAGAAATGTTTGTCAGGAAAATTTCCAAATTGCTGTTGGTTTCCCTGCTGCCATTAAATAGTAATATTAAACATAATCTTCAGTAACGTTTCACAACCAGTCCTCTGTTCTATAATGCCAGAATCCTGTCTTATGCTCTTGTATTTTGCTTACCCCACAGGTTTTCTCTAGGATTGACAGCTGGTGTTTGAAATATCCATAAATGAATTGTGATTGTGATTGTCTGTCTGATTAATCTAATCTGTGTTGATCTGGCTGTAGATGAATAATCACGTTGAATGTTTTTTATTTCACACATTGTATTTCAGAGAACTTGTCTTGCACTCCTGTAAAGTCCTCCTGGTATTTTTTAAAAGAAACATGCCAACAGCATTACATAACAGCAAGTTTCATATGAATTAGGAAGGCGGCCATGAAGACATCAACTTGTCAGCACAATTTCTTGTAAATGATAGAGTGACTTCCTGTTGAAGGGCATTATTTCAAACCCTTGAATATCTCTGCTTCCGGCACTTTTGAATGAACACATAGGTAAAGCTTAAAATCTCACAGTCTTACGGTTTCTTCGACAGACATTTTCAATAATAGCGCGTGCCAATAATGTAATCATTAAGGCATGTCGGATTTTGCACACGGAATATTAAAAGTTGTTGAGTCTGTATTTTTAGGCCTTACTCTTTGAGTCTTCAACTTGCATCCAATTTTCTTTTCTTTTCCTTGAGACTTCATGATTTTTTACTGTGCAGCCAGGAGAAACACACGTGCAGGGCTCATTTACATCTACTGCCATTTAAAAGGAGGTGTGTCAAGGGAGGAGCCTGGTAAAAAGGAGGCGTGTCAAGGGAGGAGCCTGGAAAAAGGAGGTGTGTCAAGGGAGGAGCCTGGTAAAAAGGAGGCGTGTCAAGGGAGGAGCCTGGAAAAAGGAGGCATGTTTAGGGAGGAGTCTGCTAATCCCACATGTGCTCTCAGTAGCAAATATGAGCTTTCGCCACATGTTTTACGTTTTTTTGGCATATAGATGGCCTAAAATGATCATGGTGACCAAGATGTAACCCTGCTGTAGTTTTTTTTTTTATTTATTTATTTTTTTTTAGATATTTGTGCCACATTTTCTCTATCCTGCTCACTCTATGAGATGGTAGATCCTCTACCAGTTAGGAGCCCAGCAGCTAAAAGCAATGATGACCCTCTTTATTGCATCACGTTTAGGGAAGCAAGAAGTAATGGATTAATAATTAAAAATTTCCACTAACTTTGATCATCTTAGATCAATATAAATGAACACAAATGCTTCAGTTACATTTATTTTCACCCTGGGTTGGGTTGAAGGGAAGAAAGCACGCAACCTTTCACTCACATATTACTAATCGCCAGGTTTCTTGCACAATCTCCTTTGTGTGACTGCACTAAAATTAATCAGCAGCTCGTTTTGTAATTCCAGGTGGGATTTGTGGCTGGGAGCAATGGGCAGCCTCTCCCAGCTCAGTACCTCAATGCCCTGGATAGCGTGTTGATCCCAGTCATCCACAGCAGGGGCCACAAGAGAGGCGAACAACCTTTAGTGATGGAGCTCATCTTTTACATCCTGGAGGACATCACCTAAAGCATGCCTGCGCTCCTAACGATTCATCTTCTAACTCAGACCACAGCTCCATCTCGCTCTCCATCATGAACATTGATTTCCACCAAAAGACCCAACCTGGATCACATCCAGAGCCAGCAGCCGTTTCAGCTATTCATCACAAGAGTGAAGTGGTCTGACTCTTAGCTTCATCTAGCTCCACTTGCTTACAAAAAACCCCCCTGCATGATGGACCATCGGAACAAAGTGCAGCTGCTGCACTGTAGTTGGACCTCCTTTGCTTATGATTTTCACCTTCTGTCTATGCTAGGCCTTCTTATAGAGAAGGCCTTCAAAGTGGGAGCTGAATTGAACCCCCATGACCTTAAAATAATGACTGTAAGAAATTTAATGTAGAAGATATGTAGCAATTTTACACACACTGAATGAATGCTTAAAGAATGTTTTCTTACTGCTTGGGTTTTAATGAACTATTCACAAAGAGTAATGTCTGCTTGAAAATAAACCTGGAACATTGACTGTTTGCAACTTCTTTCATGTCTTACATTTTGGCCAACTCTCTAACTTTATACAAGAAAGTTAATTTTAGATGGAAACGTTCTTATTCTTTGCTAACCTAAAGTTATGTATACATTAAAAAAACAAACATTCAAAAACACTAAAATTAGTGTTTTTGAACGTTATGTGAAATCTAAGCGTTTGCCTTTTGAAAAGCTCAGAAAGGTATTTCCAGATTGAAGAGTTTAATAGTTCAGATTTCCAGAGGTGAAGATGTGAAAGGCATTTCTAAAAAGACAAAAAAAAAAAAAAAAACTTTCAGAAAGCTTCTGAAAAAGTGGAGGATTTGTCAGACAAAAGTCTGCAGATTTTAGTTTTATTTGATGTCAGCAATGTAAAGCTGCCTCAAAATATTTGACACAATGCTGTATTAGCAAATGTTAACCATCAACTTTCACAAAAGAAAGTTGGACAGGTGAGTTTCTCTCACCTGACAGCTTCTAAAAATCAGCCAATCCTGATTTTACGTCAGATCTTGAAAAGCACAGAAAAGTACTAAAGCGTACACCTAGGAGGGAAAAGGTACTTTTCATGCACCACCTTTTTTACACTTGAGTATGAAGGCCTTAGAAAAATGTTTGAATGTGATCATTTATTGTGCAAACTCTAAAAATAGATTGTTTTTTTACAACGTAAGCATTACACGCAGAGGTATACGCTTCCCACAAATGTGCATTCTTCAGTACCATTCCACACACGACAGCTCGTCAAAAACTCCAGACGCTTACTTCACTCCTGGCAGACTTAGAATCTGCAAACGAGTTGCTGCTGATTAGGTGGATTAACACAGCCACCAACTACGACCGTAGCACCAGTTTATTTGTATACCTCCATAGAAACGTGTTTCTATGGAGGTATAGAAACATGTTTTGGTCAGGACTCCAACAGACACACAATGTGAATGAAAAGCAGCTGTGCGTTTCCAGGCACCAATAAAAATCTCTGTGGTCTTTTAAATGGGATTCATGAAGATGGAGCTAAAACAACCGCTTAACATTTACCAAGCTTCCAAGCAAAATGACTGACCAAATTCACCGTCCCATAATGTGAAGAACTCAATTTCAAGATCTTAAGTTTCTAGAATAAGAGCTCGTCCCTAAACGTGTTTATGCCAAAATATTACAAAAGGGTAAACAGGAAGACGTGCGACCGAGTTGTACGTCTTCATGTCAGACTGAGTTGCTTTAAGTAGTTTTAAAAACATAAATATAAAAAGGATAAAAATATCAGGCAGGTTCAGACTGGCAAATGCACCATGACGACAGTGTTCAACCTCCAGAACCTCAACATCTTAATGTCTTTTTTTTTTGGCTGATTATTGTTAAATAATGCCATCATGTGTTGTTTCTTAGAGGCTGGATTTAGCAATATGTAGATTATCCAAATACAAATCCATGAATGACCCTGCAGCAACTAACACATGGTTGAATCTGGCAGAAGTAAGTCCGGTGTGCAGCATGCCGTCTCTTGTGCCATGAATGGAGAAGGGAGGAGGGGGCATAATGGGTCACTTGTTTACCTCCTACTTAATCCACATACTTGAAATTGTTGGGACACGTGGCATTTGCAAACTGTGCAAATAGTTTCTTCATTGTTGCAATGAACAAAATGCCAACATGTTAAAGATAATTTAGGACTGAATTTATTGGCAATTAAATTTTAAATACACGTGGTAACAAAATTTAGAAATCACACCAATATAATTAGTTTTTTTCCGCTTTCTGTAAAACTATTTACAAACTGCTGTGTTTTTTTTTCAAGTTTAATAGAAACTGTACAGTCTTCTGTCCACAGAGGGGGAGGGGAGGGGGTCATAGGTCAGCAAATGGGCTAAAAGTTCACCAGTGTGACACTGAACTGTGAAGTTGCTTTCAACATCAGTGAAGACATAACATTCAAAACATCTTCTCTTCATACATCATGTTCCAATAGATGGATCCACAATGCAACAAAAACCCAACAAAACCAACTAACCAGGTGTGGAACCCCCGACTGTGGAAGTCATTGACCACATTGATCGCCCATGTTTTACACAAGAAACTAAAAAAAACAACAAAAAAAAAACAAACAAACTGTAAAACAGTCAAATTATTCTTTGGAATCCATAGTAATTTTAACAAGCTGACTAGGTCATACTTCCTGGGTACTTCTTTCCAAAGTCTCTAAGCTTTCTTCATCTTGCCGTTGTGGGCGCGGCCGTTCTCATATTGAGTGGAGCCGTTGGTAGCTGCGTGGTGGATGCCGTTACTGCTGCTGTTCTCATACAATTTGCCGTTTTCGTGGACTTTTCCGTTCTCTTGGTGTTTGCCGTTTGCGTATGCCACTGCACCGTTCTGTTCCTTGGTGTCCTGTTTGGGCAGCCGCTTACCCTTCACGTAGGCTTGGACCCAGAAGTTGGAGAAGAGGATGAAGAAGAAGGTGCCGTACATCCAGACGAGGTGAATGATGGTGGGGAACTGGTAGTCACAGCTGTCCATGAAGTAATACTGAGTGGCGTGGAGGGAGACCAGGACAAACTGGGTCTGTTGAAGGGGGGGAGGGGGTGGAATAAATAAAAAATAGAGATTAAACCAACTATAAAACACAAAAATGTCTCTTTTAGCTGCAATCTCTAAAGGAACTCCAGTAGGAAGTGAAACTGTTGAATGCAGGGTTTCCTTACCAGCTGAATGGCAGTCATGTATTTTTTCCACCACAAAAACTTCTGGAAGCGCGGTCCAGCAGCAGAAAGACCATAATAGAAATACATGATGACATGGACGGAAGAGTTCACCATGGCATGGAAAGATCCCATTCCACCTTAAGAGAAAACACACGTCATTAGACTAATCTAATCAAAAATAACTATCCTCCTAATCAACACAGACTCCATCCTAATTATTCTCTCAGAGCTGTTGCGGCGACAAAGAAGCTGATGCTACTAAAACAGAAGAGTCGAGGTTTTTGATAAGCTTTTTACAAGGCCAAGCTAATCGTTCTGGTCCGTTTGCAACACCCTGGCATGCAGGGTGAAAAACCTCAATTGTACCCAACCTGGGTGGCCTCTGTCTCTCTATTCGTTATTTTCATATTAGCTTGAGATGTACTCACCAGGAGCAAAGCTGACTCCCCACCACCAGGTCCACGGCATGAAGGAGTGGTGAAAGATGTGCAGGAACGTAATCTGGCCGTGTTTTTTCCTCAACACAAAGAAGATCTAAAAAAAAGAACATGAATTATTTACCATCAAACTATTAAGCTGATTAATGCATAAATAAAATAAGGTGTAGAGAAGAATAGGACTTACTGTGTCCATCAGCTCAATTATCTTTGAAAACCAGAAGAGCCATGCAACACTGACCATCTAGAGAAAAGAAAAGTCACATTAACAGCAGGTCTAGTTTTACGAAATTCAAATCAAAGCGATCAACGCCCCTCCTAGCGGTAATTGTTGAGCTTGGTGAACTTACTCTTAGAGCTTGAGGACTATTTGAGGTATCAATTGCATCACATCTCCAAGTATACGTTGTAGCCCAACCAGACATCAGAAACTGTAAAAAAATAAAATAAAATAAAAAATACAAAGTTGAAGCAATGTTAAACCAAAGGAACATGCACACAAAATGCATCGGCGGTGAACAAGATTTGCACTGATGAGTCAAATTTTTGGAGCAAGTCCAAGATTCCTACCTCATACACAATGTAAACCGATAGAGCCACCAGCAAGAAATTGTAGACTATCATGGCCTCTTTCAGCTGGAAGGGTTTCCGGTTGGCCATAATGCGAGGTCCCACATACATTATGAAAAACAGGTAGACCAATAGTATTGCCGTCATGGGAACAGGACTCTCCATCAATGGGTAGTCCTTTATCCGTGGATCTGGAACGAAAGGCAACATTTTCAGGAAACGAGTAACGGAAAAACAAACAAATTGTTTCTGTACTTTAAGGAAAAACTGCCTACCCATTCCTGCCAAGAGGTAATTGTAGATATCCAAGGCATGAGAGCCCAACTCCTGAAGTTGCCGAAGCATATTTGCTGTTGTGAATTGTTGAGACCAAGTTAGCTGTGAGGAAAATAAAGACAACATCTCATTGTTAGCCTTGTGTACGAAAAGCCAAACGCAGCACAAATGCCTCTGGAAAGGTTTTTACAATCTCGAGACATTTTAACTTGTTCGCCCAAAGTTTATTCTTCCACTTCCATCTCCTGAATAATTTTTATACAAGAAAAAAATATTTTCTGTCCATCTAGGGTGTTTTCTTTGTCCTGGGCTGAAACTACTCGTCAGATATGGTCCGATATGAGAGAGGCGGAGTCGCGACCCACAGCCCACAGTGAACCGATTGTTCAGGAGTCAAGCCCAAAGGTTCAAAGACAATATCCAGACTGCTTTCTTCAAATAAATTCCACTGGGACAGAAAAAAAAAGCAAGTTATGCAACCAAAGAGTTCACTGAACTCTAAACTCAGCCTTGAATATAACGACAACTTCTTTAATAAGACCCACTTCTTGACAAAGCAAACGGCGAATAACTAAATATAATAAAAAAAATATTGTCCAGGAGTGATGCTTTGGGCTTCAAGCTCAGACATTTTATTTCTATAAAGGCTTAATAACTCAAGTGCAAGCTGAAAGCAGTGTAGCAAAGTAGATTTCTAGGGTGCGGCTTGCCCCCGAGAGAACCATTGTTTGAAGTACAATCTACAATGCTCTGAGTTTTCACTGCCCACAGTCCTCCTTAAGCAAATATCATTAAAGGCTAATAATTTCAGTATCTGGAATGAAGGTCAGAGCTGACATACCACAGCACCTGCAAGGAGGGAGGATAAGGCATGTGGAAAAAAAAAAAAAAAAAAACTTGGGAGGAAACTGCAATGCTGTGCGTTTCTTAGAACTGATCCTTGGAAATTCTCTAATAGTTTACAATTCCTACGAAAAAGTTATACAAGCACTAGTCAGTTTAATAAAAAAGAAAAAAAAAATCAAACATTTACTCTGAAAGCAATAAAAAAAACTGAAACTGGAGAAATTGCATATTTCTCATTCCCTTTGTAGTGTGTGCAAATTTTTCCACACATCTACTACAACACTTTACAGCACGCAAAGTTACTTCATGCCAAGATTTCAGGTGACACCGAGAAGCATACCAGACAAATTTCTGTCAGCCATGCAACCAGTTTCCTTCCACTGGCCTTTTAAACACAAGAACAAAAATGAACCACTGCCACTTTGCAGACACAAGCATTACGTGCACGTGCTAGTGTTGCGCAACAGTCCAGAGACATGGCATTTCAGATAGCTCTTACATAAAAAACTGGGGTAGTTTTTGATTTGTTGTTGAGATATTTGATGAGGCATCACACAGTTTGGCAAAAGTATCCTGTCTGATGTCCTGAGTGTGTCTTGTTCTGGGAAAGAAAATGCTTTGCAGTTAAATCAGAAACTGGTCAGATTATTTTACTCCGTCTTAGCCACCGCTAAGCCAAAGCAACTACAGGGCCACTTAAAGGGCCAGTTGTGAACGGGGCTCAGGATAGTTTTAAACCCAAAGATGCAGCCAGTGGTGTTACTGTCAAGTAAGAATGAATTGTTCACTGGCAAATCTCAACATCTGAACATTTGCAAAAGTCGTGTCAGACTATTTCAGTTAAATAAACAAAATTTGATATAATTTGAAGTGAACTTTTCATTACATTGTTTAAAAGTTTCTTGTTTTAGGAGGAAATGGGAAAAAAATTTGACTTTTCATGGTCAAATGCAAATACTGACCATGGAAAGTAATCATACCAGACAAGATAATCTTGTAATCTTATGAACCAGTAGCAGAAAAAGATAGTTTCCCTTTTCTGAGACCCAGATGAAGATAAAAATTCAAGGAAAGAGCCCTTCCTTATTTGCCCAGTGAAACCATAACAACCATTTCACCAGAACCAGCTGCACCTCACTGCCTCTTATCTCCTCTAATTAAAAGCCTGCACAGAACTTCACGGTTGTGCAGTAAACTAGTCCAGGACTCTGCTTCTAGTGGTGCCGCCATATCAGCAGAGGTTCAGATAACCCAACAGGAGGACAAGGATTTTCTCAAGATTGTGGGAAGTGGGGGGAGGAAAGGGGTCAGAAAACCGTTCGGTATTCCCATGACACAGTGATACAATACAACTGTGGACATGTGAACACTTAAGCACCTTAGAAAAAAAATGCCCCCCCCATCTCTCTCGGGAGAAATGAGTTACAGCTGCTACCACCACCGACCCCTAAACTTTCCGACACCACCGCCCATTCATTACGAGGAAAGTTTAGCAGCAAACGGTTGGTGTGCGACTGTGAAAGAGAGACCAAACAGGAAGGAGGGGTAACGTTTCCCCCTCCGACAGAAAGCCATGTCAATGAATCATGGGGATGGAAAAATGAAGCTCACGAGTTAGAAGTTAATGATGAACAAAGATCAGTAAAGGACAAGGAAAGGAAAAAGCAGTTTGAAAAAAAGTCAAGAACACATTTTCTTTCATAGACATTACCCCCCCTAAAATGGCCCAAAACATCTGCAGAACACATCCCCCGAGTTATTGCATTTTCAAATTAAAGTTGCGATACATACCGTCACAAGAACAGACTTGTTTCTCCCCCCTAAATCATCAAAGCAGAAGCGCCTTTCTCCTTTTTCGGTTTGGCAAAACCTCTCAGCTGACTTGAGCTGCAGGTAGAAAGACAAGCAGGCGGAAAGAAAAAAAAGAAAAAGAAAGAGAAAGCAGCAGAGAGGGAAAAGAAAGGCAAGGCTGAGAAGGGGCAGGAAAGTGAGAAAGTAAACTGAGAGTGACTGGTACCAGCAGTCTTCCACAAGGTCACACCCTCCCTGACTCACATAGTGGATGAATAACCAGCCTTCAGAAGGAAAGGGAGGGAAGGAGGAAGAGTCGGAGGGAAAGCGGGAGGGAGTGCGAGCGCTATGTGCGAGTGTCCTGTACGTCCATAAGAGATACAACTGGGATGAGGCGGCCCCCATTTAAACCCACTTTACCAAACAATTCAAAGTGAAATCCTGACCGCCAGCCATACCTTAACGAGCAGAAGTTCAGTCCCCTTTTAACGCTCTCCCGGTTCCACCCTGTTGTCCCTGAAACACACAACTCTGGAGTTGCCAGGCAAGTTTACCCCCTCCTTTCTTCCCTCCCTCCTCCGGGTGGGACGATTATATTATTCACATGGAGCAGGCAAGAAATCAGAGGAGACTCTGTTATCGTGAAGGGGGTTATTGTTGCGCCTTTCCTGGCCCTCTACACAGCCAACACCCATGAAGCCTCAGTTTCTGTTGTCGTGGTGAGGGACCATGTCATGACCCAAGTGTCCCAAGTTCAGTAGATGGCTGAAAACATGTGCACCACCTTGCCTCTAATGTGGAAGACACTATGTTTGTACTATAAGCAAGAGAAGATGAGTATCGACTAACGTTTTTCCACTGGTTGCACTGGTGGGCTTCACCCAAACTTCTGACTGCAACACATTGTTTAACATTGCAGTTTGACCTTTTTTCAAATCTGTCAAATTGAGGTAATATTGACCTGTAAATCTAGTAAAGTTATTTATGTGAAGCAGAATTGGTGAAAAAGTGTTTGAGCTTCCACAAACTGAATTTTGAACATTTCAGTCTCAAGTTAGAAGATGTTTTAAGGGCTAAATATCTGAAGAACATCTCAAACTAAACATTTCATTATGACCAAGCCATTTTCCGTTGTTTAACTTGGTGAAGGAAAGTGTTTCTTTTGCAGGACTATATCATCATCTCAGCCACTACCGATTTTCTATTTATGCATTCAATTGTGCTTTTTCAGTGTTTCAATTCAAAATGCGTTAGAACCAGTTACAAATGTACAGTGTCCAGCCATGGTAGTTCACATGAACTACTAATTTGTTTTCCTTAAGGGGCCCATTTCATTTCCTACCTACGTCTTGATCGAATGACTTGGAATCTACATCTGCCTGTGTGGATAATTTGGGGTGCACATTTATTCAATCTTTATTTTGCTGCATTTTGTATTTAAAATGATTAATTAATGTGGCATATCAAGCCTTAATCACTAAAAATGTCTGTCAACCATTTCAAAAAAAAAAAAAAAAGAAAAAGTCTAGAGCCCTGGGAGGAGAGAAAAGCACTACATATGAGCCAGCTGCCGATAAAGCTGAAGTTTGCTCAGGGCTGGATGGAAAACATCATGTAGACCAAAATAATTGCAGCAAAGTAGACATGACTCATAAGATAATACTTAAAATTCTTCTGCAGGACTTACATAAGATTGTTTTGCTTTCTGAAAGGGAACCACTAAGTCAAATGCCAATGTCACACCCAAGCAAGCCATGCAGGAACATCATCAACTAAAACTATTTGGAAATACTTTGGGATCACATTCATTTTAAAACAATAGCGTGGCATGTGCAAAAACAACAGCAACAAAAAAAGCTATTGATCATGTTTATGTTTTTAATGACTTGTAGTTTTGATTGGCAGAGGCTAAAAATGTATTCTTTGGAATTAAAAACAAATCCCCAAAGAGAGAACTGTAAATCAAATTGATTTTAGTTTAGAAAAGACGGTACGATTTTGCCCTCAGCCTTTCCTTCTAAGAAGTGTTTCAGGGAGATTGTATCTCGTGGTTGCCTTGGAAATACTTCAAAGCCCCATTTCCCAGACAAGTTAGAGCCATTGTCCCTCCAGCCTGGTCTTATAAATAGCAGAAGGCTGACGGTACATAAGGGTCCATTTCTTCTTATTAAAAATAAAGAGACAAACTGATTTCCCCTACTAGTACAGTGTGGTTCATCCTAAATCTAGGCCAATTTAGAGGATTAGGTGGATATATTATAAAAGATCCCTCCTCTTTGATGTTCGAAATGACACTAGATTTGACAAAGCACTTCAGTAAACTTTGAGTTGGCCAACAACCTCCCAAACAGGGATTGTGGGATCATTAGGTGTTGCCATCGTCTGCAATACCTCTCGCCAACACCCGCTTTTCACATAAAAGCTTGATTTGACCCAGTACTGCCAGCTCAGGCTTATCAGCTTTA